ACGAGGCACTACCTCGAGGATGGTGGGGAAATGTGCTGCTATTTGTATAGTTTATTGAATATATTATAAATATTTTCAACACTGTGTTTGACTCCAATGCTTTGGTGTAACTCAGAGCTGTTTTACATGTTTTTAGTTGGGAGTTGTTCGGTATTTGTCGCGGAAACACCTCGAACGATAACGAGATTGTTGTTATCTTGAATGAAGCAAAAGTGGTAGGTATAATGAAATATGTCTGACATTTCAGTGGCGTTTCCGTAAACATTCCGCGATGTTTCTGTAACATTCTGGTGTTTCCCGACGTTTCCGTGACATTTCCGTGACACTGTCATGACACTTCCGTGACACTTCCGTGACACTTCCATGATCTTTTCGTGACACTTCCGTGACATTTTCATGTTCTGTGACACTTCCGTGACACTTCCATGACACTTCAATGACACTTCCGTGACGTTCCTGTGACATTTCCGAGACATTTTTGCAGCGTTTCTGTAACGATTACATAACATTTTTCTGACGTTCCTGTTACATTGCCGCAGCGTTTCTGTGACAAGCTAACCTGCAGCAGACATTATCTACGTTACTAGAAGATACAAGCGAAAGTGTGTAGACTTCGAGATGATCAATCGCATCATGAGTTTTGGGTAGAGGGTAGTTCGACATATTTCCTGGTTTTCAAATACTTCCACTCCATACGTCCCCTGTCAAAAAACATCTGTCATACGTAAGCTATCCCTTTGCCGAGCCCACCTGAAGTTTGGTGGTCTAACCTTGTATATTTTTTATTGCTATTCAACTCAACCGTCTTTTATATTGAATGAAATCATGAGCTTGCATTAGCTGTCTAATTGAAATAACTGTATTCAGTAATGGGTTATAAAAATCTGGTTATTCAACAAAGTATCACAACTAAACATGGCTAACCTTTAGCGTTAATAACCTCCTAGCACCCTTAACCTATACGCGGGGTAGTCTACCCGCCAGGTGCCTGATTGGTTTTGCTTTCGGCAAGCATCGGGTATACGATATACGTAGCGACCGCCTATCAAATGTCATAAGCCATCTGTCGGCTGTCGATTGTTCAGCTAGCACCAGAAGGTCACGTGGTATTCCTCGTATGTCATATATCGAATGTGTTATGTTAGTTGTCATCCGCTGTCGTACTTTAGGTGTTATAGCAGTCTCTGAGCATGACAGGAAGTGAGGTGGTCTACCCGCGAGTCACCCTATATCTATACACCCTGTATATTGAACGGAATCAGCAGCTAGTGCGTCATACTTCACCTATCTGTTTTGCCGGGTCCATCTGAACATACTGCATATTGAATGAAATCATCAGCGGGGTAGCCAGCTAGCAAGTCGCCTGGTCACGTTTCATTTATCCTGTCAACGGCCTTCTATCAAACGTCATCTGCCATACGTCATACGTCAGCTATCTGTTTGCTAAGCCCACCTAAAGTGTGGTGGTCTACTCATGAGTTGCCCTATGAATTTTCTCAATTTTTATTCAACTCTCACACCCTGTATATAAATATTCAATTTTGTTATTGAACTGATGGCTTGCGAGGTAGCTAGCTTGCAGGTCGCCTAGTCACGTGTCATCGAAAGTTTGATTTCTGTCAACGAACATCTGTTATACGTCATCTGTCATGCATTACCTATCTGTTTGCCGAGCCCACCTAAAGTGTGGTGGTCTACCAGTGAGACAGCTGTATATACTTTCGATTTATATTCAACTCAAACACCCTGTATATCGACCCAGCTATTGGCATCGATGTGTTATTGCGGTTCTTATCAGCAGCTTGCTGATAGCTCACTCGTCGGAGCCGGATGACCTTGAAAGCGTAAAAAATGACCAGAATGGACCTCAAAATCCGCTGAAAAAGTCCGTAGATCTAGGGAAAAATCTGCTTTGCTTTACATTGGCTCTCATAGGGCTTCCTGCCGTACATCGTGTTATTTCCGTAGAATCTAGGAGAAAATGACTTAGAATTTTGAAAATTGGTCTGGAGTCTGTCTAGCCCATTTACTTGCAATACATTTCTGCCTTGGTTCACGAAAAAAAATCAAGATATGCTTCAAGAAAAAGATGACTGGAGAAGGTTGAGAGGTGTGTGTGATTATCATGGAGAAATGTTCGAAGAACTGAGGGAGAAACTGAAGGCAATAATCAAATTAGAAGAAAGTATCTATATGAAGAGAATAGAAGTGGGTTCAAGCGGGGACATAAACCAATTCTGGAGTTACATGAATAAGACGAAAAGTAATGATAATGAGTCGAGATCGCTCGTCTTTAATGGCAATCCGATCACTGAGGAAAATACTGCAGATATATTCGCTGATTTGTATGCCTCTTCATTCAATAGTGATGCAACTTATAATTCAAATTTCAATTATGACACGGAAATATGTGATGACAATTTCTTACCAAATATGGTAACTGAAGGGGAATAATAATGCAGTAAAGCAGTTGGAACCAAATATGTCTCATCTGCAATATTTCCTACTGAATGGAAAACTGGGATCGTGACCCCAGTTTTCGAAAGTGGTAATTAATTGAATGTAGAGATTTTTGGACCAGTGTCCATAATTTGTGCGCTAGCCAAACTATTCGAACAGATTATTTTCTCAGCATCATATAATTATACTGAAAATATATTGTTTTACATCAGCACGGCTTTGTACTCAGTAGATCTGTTGATACAAATCTCCTTCTGTTTGCTAACCACGTTCATGAAACATTGAAGTCTGAGTCTCAGACAGATATTCTATACATCGATTTCCAAAAAGCATCCGATCAGGTGGATTATGATGTATTATTGTATAAATTGAGTAGATTTGGATTATCTGATACTATTTTGAGATTGATCAGGAGCTATTCAGAAAGCAGAATTTCAATCCTTTCATTGCGGGTAAAATTTTGATAGTCGTGATTTCAGAACGGGGAAAATTCAGCGTTGCGGAAACGCCTGTCTCCCGGTATACACAAGTCCGTACCTACGTGTACATCCGTCTCCCGCAATCACAGGATAACTTGTGAATGCAATTTTTTCACATATTTCAACTCAAAGTAAGTTCTATTTCGATAGTCTTTATTTAAAATGAAATGTTATGATGCGACTCCTTATATCTATAATGAATTGGAAATATTTCCATATATGGAATGGAATTCAATGATTTTCGACAGTGTGATACCTTTCAAATCATTCGATAATACACAGTGGAACATCACAAGGCGCAAAGCAGGATTAGGGTTTTTTCAGCATACAACAACTCTTCAATTAGATCGTCATTGAGAACTTTTTGGAGCCATCGTGGTTTAAATTCAATTGAATCAAATGAAAACTAACCAATTTATGCAGCTACAACTTCGATTCTGAAATATTGAATAAAATGAAAACCGCATCCACAATCGTTAAATCCTGTTGAGACATGTTCAGTTGCATCTTGACATATCAATAAAAGTAGACAGGAACTCCGGGCTTCCGCAATGAATGCGTTGAAAACACGTTCGTGAAAAGCCGTCTCCTGCTTATTTGATGTACAAACGTTTTGCGGGTTTGTCTGGTTCCCGCAATAAAAGGGCTAATGGTTAAATATAATGCTATATTCTCAGATGAAATCGCGGCACTATCTGGAGTTCCTCAGGGGTCAAACCTGGGGTCGTTTTTCTTCATGATGTTCATCAACGACTCACCAGCTCTATTCAAGTAATCAAAGTTTTTTATGTTTGCTGATGACTTGAAAATATTCAAGCGCATCCAGACGGTCAGCGACTCGGAGAGGTTGCAAATAGATATAGATGAACTCAAAGAGTGGTGTAGAATGAACAAGTAAAACTTCAACGATAAAAAAGGCTTCGCTTTGTTCATAACTCCTCAAAAGAACCCAATACACTTCGAATACAGATTAATTGATGAAACGCTGACAAGATCCACAGAAGTTGAAGATCTTAGTGTAGTCTATGATCACTTATTTTCATTCAACAGGCATATCAAGAATGTGAATGAACTGACTGGATATCTATTAGGATTTGTAATCAGGCATGCACAAAACTTCAAAAATTTGAATACAGTTTGATTTAAGGGAAATTAGAATTCGGCTCCTTGGTTTTTCTCGGCGAATGTCAAGCAGCGTGTGGCCAATTCGAGGAGATTCAAAATGAATTTTTGCGTAAACAATACTTCAAAATATATCACATTCACCCCGACTATCGTGAAGTCACATCTGCGGAACGAGTTTGGAGTTCTATAGTCAGAGAATCGCCGGAATTTGTGTCTTCTAATCTCTTTGCATAAAATTATCAATAATAAAATTTACTCCTCAGAAATCCTGTCATTAATACGATTCAATATTTTTCCTAGAAGAACACGATCATCTGTGATGTTTCACATTTTACTGGTAGCCACAGCAGCCTCCACCAGATCTCCTCTTGTATCCATGTTTCGACTGGTAAACGAATATAATGTCTTCATGAATATCGAATGGCCTAGCTCACAAAAAAACTATAAAACTGCAATATTGAAGCACATTCTGGCTCTATCAATTCGGGGTAACCCCATCATCAATTCATTCATCAATCTATTGATTGGTTTATAGAAATTATGAATCTTGGAACTGATCGATCCTTGATTCAATGATTCTACTCACTGTGTATAGGTTTATTAAAATTCCATTTCTGAATCCAATATGTTTATTGCTTGTATAGGCATCATGACTATCATTCTAAGTTTCGAAATATGTCATTTTCATGTTCAATTATCCATGTAGTTGAGTTGTAAAATCTGTATAGATAATAATAAATGGATGAATGAATGAATAAATAAATAGCCATTTGACGATACTGTTATTGTTTTTTAGTGAAACATTGAATATTCAGATTCAGTTGGAGTCTCTCAGCCTTCCGAAGCAGTCGATATCTGATGGATGGACATTCCGGAAATCAACACTGTTGCCACGACTAGTTGCACCACTCTGAAACCAACGTTACCTCTCGATAGCCTGCAGCCAACAACTCGTACGTCATCAAAAACATCAGACTAGTGAGAACGAGGTTTGGTGAAGCAATTGTGGCGGAATTGGAGGAAGTCAGCGTCTCATTGCCAAATAGAGTGGTTGCCATCATCAAGGCGCAGCTTCCATCATTCACTACGAGGAAATACGGCCTCGTAGTTGAATGGTCTGGGAAAAAGGCATCAACACCCATATTCACCGTTGAAGAAAGCGAGAGTGGGTGAAACATCAGAATTCCTAATTGTTTCCTCGATTAATTTGTACTGGTATCTAATGAACTCGTACAATATTGCGAGTGAGAGTGATGAGATTGTCGAGATATCCGAACGAATAGGCATAATGATGTCATATCGCCTGATGATAGAGTATTGTGGCTCAAACAGATCAAGAAACATGTGAGAGATTTCAAGAGAGTGATTGAGGTAGGTAATTTCAGACAGGGGGTTTGAGGAAACTCCAAACCAACGTGGGTCATTCAAAACGTTCACAGACTCTCATGATTCGTTATGAAAAATATATTGTGGCGTGTGTTAGCAGCAAACGAAAGAATAGAATCAGATGAAGGGAAGTTCAAACCGTTTTTATCAGCCAAATAAGGACCGGCGTCATTATCAACATTTTTCGTCTCATGGACTAAGCTCAATTCTTGATAGATGCTTCACAACTTCGAAATCATGAAGAATTCACGAGATTTTCCAATGATCAAAGTGAATACCACATTTCTCAGAAAGTTTTTGAAGATGTCCAATGATATAGAGGTTATTGATTCCGAATATTCCAATATTCAGAACGCATTCATTGACACAGGGAAGGATTTGAAGAGTTGGTTCGAAGAGCTAGTAATCGACAAAATTCTAAACAAAACTTTCGGAATTCCCGAAGAAGGATAGTGGCTGGGTCTTGAATCTAGTGATATCTTCAGGAGTCAACATCAATGAATTGGAAATGGGTAACGGATCGTCAAACATCAAGTTGCTAGAGGAAATTTATAAAAAGCGAGCTTGAATCATTGTAAGGAACACTGATGATGCATGCTTTTCCTGGAGCATCGTGAGTGCTTCACACCCTGCTGACCATAATGTTGATAGGCCCAGCTCGTATCCTCATAATAGCCAAATTCCGAATACTACAGGCTAGAAAACACCCATTACTCTTGGCAGTTTGAAACACCAGATGATATTTCAGTCGATGTTCACGGCTTGGATTCAATACATGAGAAGACCGAGCATTCCGAAGTATCACGCGTGCCCGCTTTCGAATTGAAAGGAGCATTCCACAAAGCGTAGCGAAATTGATGCTCTACCTGAAAATGACTATGATTGTGATATAAGGTATCATCATTATTGGACCAAAGACATGTCTCGACTATTCTCCTCTCAACTCAATGGAGATGAGCACAATGAATTCCTCTGTGACCGATGTCTCTAATATTTTCCTAGTGGAGCTGAATAGAAGAAACACGAAATCCTCTGTAAAAAAATCGTATTGTCTGGATTAGCCAAAAACGATCATGAGAATATTGAATCTATTGTGAAAATAGATGTTGGTGTCATTAAAAATACGCTGAATGTAGAAATCAAAAATTTTGAAACAATGGATATGTATTGGATGAGAGCTAAGACGGATGGTAAAATACGCCTGGTTGTTGTAAAGCGGAGGTGAGCGGAAAAATTGAAATTTTGAAAAATGCGAAAAAACTCAAGAACACAGTGTATGCCATATCTGGAAATTATAGTGAGAGAGTCCTGGAGGAAAGGAAAACTACTAATGCCGTTTCTCAGAAGAGCTAGAACATCTGGAGAAAATGCCCACTTGAAACAAAACTACCTCATCATTGATAACCAAAGATACACAGTGGAAGCAATTGAACATGCTGAAAATACTCGAAGTGCCAACAAGAAGTCTTCTTCTGAGACATTGTCCCATGTAACAAGTACAGGTACATTTTCCCAAGGAACAAATGTACAAAATAGATATTACTTGTTACAAATCACCACGAAGAAGCCCTAGGAAGCACCTATATAAACAAAACGAAGTTTCACAATAATGCATCAAAATATTCGAAGTGTAAGGAACAAGTTATCAGAACAAAGTGAATACGCAAATAACCACCCCTCTGGAGGAAAAATTGATATAATTATTTCATCAGAAACGTGGTTGGAAGAGGGTGGAAAAAAGTTTATTCAATGTGATAACTTTGTTTTGTGCAGTAGTAATAATAGGAAAATTTCTAAACATGGAAGATCGAGTATTTTTGCAAACAAGAAGGTGAAATGTCGACCCATTTATGAAAATAATGATATTACTATTGACAAATATATCGAATTTTGTATAGTTGAGAGTGAGAATTTCATTATTATATCTTTATATCGGGCACCAACAGGTGATTTCAATATTTTCATCTCAAATCTTGAAATCCTATTGACCAGTTTGTTCAAAGAACCTGACACCATATAATTTTGTTTGGGGATTTCAACGTGAATTTTCTGATTGATTCGCGAGAACAAAACATGCTTGTCGCATTATTAGCTACATTCGATTTGAACCAAACAATTCATACACCCACAGGAATACAAGAAGCAAGTCAAACTTGCATTGATGATATATTTACCAATGTGAAATTTATTGAAGCAACAGTGAGAGAGTCTGAGCTATCTGACCACACAGAACAAACGATTGTAATTGGAATCAACAGAAACCTAGAACAATTCAGATTCAGAAGAATATATTCTGGTTAAGATATAACTAAGTTCAATAATATGCTAGCTGAAAGACTAACACATATCAATTTTAACGATCACTCAATTTGTATAGAGGACAAATTTTCTATGTTTATCATGAACATCAGTGAAACTTTTGACAAAAACTTCCCACTCAAAAAACTCAACATCAGTCATAACAATTGGTACACACCAGGAATAAAACGTGCAAGTAAAACTAAACGTATATATCTGTCGATAGTGAATGAAATGAAAATAAATAAGATTTTGGGCAGGGAAAGTTATATGAGGCATGTCAACAAATATTGCACATTATTGGAAAAAGTTGTGAGGGGAGCTAAGAGGAGGTCATATCGAAAAGAAATCATGCGAAGTGACAACAAAATGGAAACAATGTGGCAGATTGTGGGAAATGAGACCGGAAGAACAAGGAATGAACAAGAAATAGAAGATAAAATAATGTTGAATATACAAGATAAACAAATAACAGATGAAAAAGGTATTGCAAACTGTTTCAATAACTTCTTTCTGAATGTGGTAGAAACAAATGAGGTTGATGATGAAAGTAGGGAAATAGCTACTTATGTAATCACTCGCATCGAAATAATAAAACTTTTGTATTATCTGAAACCACGACAAATGAGGTAATTGAAACATCCATGAGTTTAAAAAATGAATACTCAAGTAGTTGGGATGAAATATCATCAGTTTTTCTAGAAAAAATTATTACAAACATATCTGAACTTTTAGCATTCCCCATAAATGAATTGTTTCTTCATGGAATGTTTCCTCAGATTCTGGAGTGTTCTGAAGTTATACCTAATCAGAAGGATAGCAATAAAACAAACCCCAATAATCATAGGCCGATTTCTTTTATTTTGATAATTGCAAAATGAGTCGAAAAGATAATGTACAAAAAACTTGATGAATTCATAATAGATTCCAAGATTCTTTGCGAAAATCAGCATGGTTTTGTAACAGGAAAGTCCACGAACTCTGCAATGTTTTCAGTAACAGAAGAAATAATATCAAGCACGGATCAGAATATATTGGTTGTGGGTCTATCATGTGATTTTCGCAAAGCATTAGATAGTTTAAACTTTGAGATAATCCTAGAGAAGGTAGAGCACTATAAAATAAAAGATGTGGGCCTTAGTTGGTTCAAGTCCTATCTCGTAGGAAGATGTCAACGTGTAAGGGTGATTGTGGAAATCATGAATCCATAGTTTCTGACTGGGGAACCACTTCATCAGGAGTGCCACAGGGGTCTGTCTTAGGGCCTCTTCTATTGTTATTATATATAAATGACCTGCCAGCGAACGTTTTCCTTGCTAGTACCACATTATTTGCAGATGACCCATTTATGATTGTCAAAGATAAGACCACAGAAGAAATAATTAGGAGACTGCATTGCACTATCAGGCAAATAGAGGAATGGTGCAAAATTGGCCAAATCAAGATAAATTATAGAAAAACAAAGTGTATCCCTTTTGGTCGGAAAAATGACATAAACAATCATCAGAATTTTGACAATGGGGTGTCATTTGTCTCGAATTCGAAATCTCTTGGCTATATGTAAGATACATCACTGACTTGAAATGAACATACAGAACTACTCAGCCAAAAGCTACAAAGCACCTGCTATTATTTACGAATATTAAAATTGAAACATATTGAAACTAAGGTTCTGAGAATTGTGTATGAGGCAAATTTTGTATCAAGACTTCGATATAGTGTAATTCATTGGGGATCTTCGACTAACTGCCAACAATTATTCATAATTCAAGAATACGCAGTCCGCCTAATGCTTGGTCTCGAAATGAGAGAATCGTGTTGCCCACATTTCATAACACTGAATATTTCACACAGAGAAAAACGGTCCAGGTACACAAGTACACTTGAGTAAAATTTAATACCCACAAATATATTAATGAACTTTTGTACCATTACAATAGGTGAAATTTTTTTTCTGATATCGACTTCCAGTGGCAGGATAACTATGCTCCTGGAACAGGCCATTCTTCTTGTGCTTGATTAATTTTTATCGATGTGTTTAATACTCAGTATACAACAATCCACCTAACATTAATATAATTGTCCCTCAATCCTTGTTTTCTATGAGTGAAAAGAATAATTCTGCCATTATTACCAGTTTAATGAAAACAGGTAACAGTTCACTTGATTTCTCTGTTTCGTCATCATTCGGCTAGTTTCGAATACCCACGATTACGCCACGAGCTGACTACGCAACTCTTCTGCACTTCATTCCAATAATGAACTCAGTCTGTATCTGTACTAAGAATATGTCCCTTTGGTGTTTGCGAACACTTATGCGTGCCTTTTTCTATTCTGGAACATTTGTGTTGTGCATGTAAGTTAAGTGATTGTGACTATTCCAATAACATTGATCCCAGTGAAATTATCACTATGGTGCGACTAGCCCCAGGTCGAGAGTTAAAAAATATAGATGCAGCATAAGAAGTTCATCGACGACAC